ATTGATTTTTGCAACCCACCTTTGCTCTTTCAGTATGAAGTCGTCTATGTTTGCAGTCCAGTTAGTGCCACCTGAGAAGTTACAGCCGTGTGTCATCAGAGCCAGCGGTCTGCTGTTCTCTGGTAGTGGAGGGTATATCTGTGCCCCGATGCACACCCACAGTGACAGAGCCAAACCAGACACCAGCCCTGCCAAACCTCCCTAAAACATCCACACTTTTAAAGGAATAGTTTGAACAAAATCGCTGAAATTTTACTCCCATTCAGGCCATCCAAGATGTAGATGAGTTTGTTTCTTCATCAGAACAGATTTGGATATAATTTAGCATTCCATCACTTGCTCACCAGTGGATCCTCTGCAGTGAATGGGGGTTGTGGATAGAAGGGATACAGCAAAAACTGGAAGCTAACAATAAATTGAATTTTCTACCTATTAGATTGTGTTTTATTAACGTCAACACCTACCCCAACCCTAAACCTACCCCTTACAATAATGCAAAAATAGTAATTACTGTTGTACAGTGAGAAAAATTACACTATATTGATGTGCGCATGCCCTGTAGTTTTTGCTGTATGCCATCTAGGCTTAACTGTGAATGGGTGCCGTCAGAATGAGAGTCCAAACAGCTGATAAAAACATCACAATAATCCACAAGTAATTCACACCACTCCAGTCCATCAGTTCATGTCTTGTGAAGTAAAAAGCTGCATGTTTGTAAGAAACGAATCCATCAAGACCTTTTTAACTTCAAACTGTTGCTTCCAGCTAAAATATGAGTCATCTATCCATGATATTGCTATCAACGGTGAAAAAGTCGTCTTTTCTGAATCGGGAGAGAAATATGCACAGATCAAACACCGTTTACAAGCGAAAACACTTCTAAACAAACACGTCGGTGGATTTTGATGTGAGAGGACAACAGGAGATGGAATTTTACACCTGAGGAAGTGTTATTATGGATTATTATGGACGCATATTTTGGCCAGAAGCAATGGTTTAAAGTTAAAACCCCTTAATGAAGGATTTGTTTCTTACAAACGTGCAGCTTTTCACTTCACAAGATGTTAATTCATGTACTGGAGTCATGTGGATTACTTGTGGATTATTGTGATGTTTTTATCAGCTGTTTGGACTCTCATTCTGACGGCACCCATTCACTGCAGAGGATCCAAGTCATGTAATGCTACATTTCTCCACATCTGTTCAGATGAAGAAACAAACTCCTCTACATCCTGGATGGCCTGAGGGTGAGTTAAATTTTTTCTTGCAAATTTTCATAACACATTAAAATCATTAATCATTAGCCATGCTAACCTTTGCATTAGCGCAAGGAAACAGGATGCCAAGAGAAAAAAGGCCCAGTAGAGGTCCGCCAACCACTCCTGCGATACTAATAGCAGCCTGTTGAGAAACAAACAGACAGGAAAATTAGGACTATACCATCATTCGCCCCATAATGTCACATAATTCATCAGTAACCCACCTGTAGCATCCCTCCCATTAAAGATGCAACACCAGCCATTCCGATGCACACGGCACCATAAAACAAACCTGTGATTAGGGAATATCATCTAGTTAAGTAGGTAGTATCACTGTTCATGCATTAATGTGAAGATATTCACTCACTTATGCCCTTTAAAGACCAGGACAGTTGCCTTTCTGACAGACTGAAGTATGGCCGAATCAGATCTGCAATAGTTACCGCAGCCAAAGCATTTACACTGGAGGAGACTGTACTGTAGACAATAAAGATGATATAATACAAGCTTAAAATGATAATGTGATAAATGTGGTACAAAAATGACTCACTCGTGTAATGTTCCAGTGTCATTCCCTCTTGCATTTAATCTTGGTGCGTCATTATCGGTCGAGAGTGAAAGAATGATGTTGGACGTATCTGAGATTTATAAATGCTGTAGAAGTATTGTTCAATGCTACACTTAAAAATAAAGGTTCCAAAAGGGGGGTTTCACAGCAATACAATAGAGGAACCATTTTTTGGGTTCCCAAAGAACCTTTTAGTGAACAGTTCTTAAAAGAACCATTTTCCTTAGTGTGAAGAATATTTTAAAATTCTAAAGGAGCTTTTTCACACTATAAAGAATACACTATAAAGGTTCCATGGATGCTAATAAAGACTAACGACAAATTAAACTTTAATGTAAAGTGTAACCCAATTTTATATTTTGTAATGTTTTAGTAGACATGGAATATGTAGCACAAGAGTTGTAGTTTAATGTTGTACTTTTTGGAGTCATGCTTGTATGGCAGAGCTGCTTGGACATTTTGCTAAATATCTCCTTTTGTGTTCCACAGAAAACAGAAATTCATATGGGTTTGGAACGACATTAGGGTGAGTAAATGATACATTTTATTTTTAGGTTGAACTAGTTGTCTTAATAGAGAACAAACCTTAATGTGCCACTATATGCTGCTGCCACAAACAGTCCTGGCACACCAGGATATTCGCTCAGGATGTCCAACACCAGGTATGGCATAAGCTTATTGCATATTATAGAAAGAGAAATTAATGTAGCATATTCCAGATTGATAATGTTATTTAATATATAATATATAGTATTTATTATAGAAATATATAAAGGTTATTAGGAGTTTTAGTAACATTGCACAATTTTTGCATTTGAGATGCATTGTCGTGGTTTGTACCTGGTCCAGAGCAGACACCTTTCTTGCTGCCCATGGATCACAATTCTTATAAACGGAGTATAAACACAAGCCACAAAACACTGAGCATATTGATATAGCCCAGAGAGACACTAAGTTTATGTATAAAGCCCTGGATAGAGACAAAAACACAGACAAAAGTAGTTACATATTGCATTCCTTTTAGCGTGAAATTGGGTTTTATGATTTGTGCAATGCTCACATTTTAGCATGGAACAGGGACTTGCATGATATGTATCTTTGCACCTGAGCTTGATTGATACCATAGACACTGGTCCAGAGGAACGTCCCTCCCACTGTGATGCTCCAGAAAGTGTGTCTCCTCAGGGGGTTCGGATCAAAGCTGAGCGGGTCGGACACAGCATGAGAAAGGCAAGTTTTTAAAGGTGCAGTATAAGCGATTTCTGAGAAATGCTGTTGATATTTGAAATCACCAAAACAAACACGCCCCTTCCCAAAAGAATCACACCCCTATCTTGATAGCTCCGCCCCCAAATTTAAGAAACATGCTATTCAACACAGGCACCTCCCCCATCACTACTGGACATACCCCTTACTGCTGATTGGCTACAGGTGTGTTTTGGTGCTCGGTCCGATCCACTTTCAACAGCGTTTCTCAGAAATCGCTTACTGCACCTTTAAAGGGACAATCCAGGCAAAAATGAAAATTCTGTCATAATTTACTCTCCCCCATGTCGCTCCAAACCTGTATGAGTTTCTTTCTTCTGCTGAACACAAAGGAAGATATTTTGAAGAATGTTGGTAACCAAACAATTTTGGTTCCCATTCACTTCCATTATATATTTTGACCATAAAATGGAAGTCAATGGGAGCCGAAACTGTACAGTTATCAACATACATTATCAACATCTTTTGTGTTCTGCACAAGAAAGAAAGTCATACAGGTTTGGAATGACATGAGTGTGAGTATTTGATGACCCAATTTTCATTTTTGCCCAGACTTTCCTTTAAATTATGCATTCTTGTACCTGTCAGTAATGTGATAACTCACTTCCATAGGTTGAGCCGGCCTCCCTGGGTGGAGTCACTGATGATAGTGGAGATCCCGCCCTGCAGCAGCACCGATTGGACGATGACAGCCAAGAGCCCAGCCAACATGATACCCACCTGGAATACATCCGTCCACACCACTGCCTTCAGACCGCCCTGCCAGGGTAAAGGGACAGTCCTTTGTGATGCACATTTTAATAAATATACATTATATAAACATAAAATGGCAATTCTAAAAAGTGTTGCTACTGTATAATTTTAATATAACAGGGATTCTCAAACTTTTTTGTCCGCTGAACCCCTTAGACTTAAAATATTTATTTGTAGTACCACCTGAGATTTGAAGCTAATATTCAAATGATTTAACAACACATTTGCATGCTCATGGTTCTCTGATGTTGATAATAATAATAATAGAACGTATTATTATTATTAGTAGTAGTAGTATGTTTTAACTCTAATTATAAAAATAAAGACAGAAATATATAAATTTACGCAGCACAACATACTATACAGTTATTTAATTTAATTTTAGCTCTTGATTTTATAATTGCACTAAGCTATATAGGGATTATTGTGCAGCCCCATTTTTTTATTTTAATTTTACATTCAATATAATTAATTACCAGTTTATCAACTCATGAACCCTCACTTGGGAAACCCGTTTAATATAAAGCAAATATGCATAGTGGGGCAAATCTTAAATTTTTTTTTTACATAAAAATATTATTTTTCAATATTCAAAAAATATTATTTTGCAATATTAAAACCAGTGTGCTGTACAATTTGTTGCTTGAGTTTCGAGTGGACTAGGTAGTAACCTATTTGTATGGAGCCCTAATAAAATGGAAAGACTTGAATTTGACACTTGAGTAATTAACCATATTCCGTGACCGTTTGAAATGGCAATGTATGCAATATATTATGAGGATATTGTACATACTGTGAATTTATTTTGTGCTCTGTACCATATTTTCACTCAACATGATAATAGTATCTCAATGATACTAAAATAACACTACTCTCTTTCTAACTTACTAATGTACAGTAGAGAGTGCAGACGACTCCGGTGGAAATGACGGCACCCCAGAGATCTATACCTGTGACTGAGAAGTGGAGAGAAGTTCACTTGACCAGACAGCACTGTGCACTATCAAGCATACTTGTTACACCATACACTTCACAAGTAAAGCCATTTGACTTACACACTTAACAGACACCTTTCTTGCTGCCCATGGATCACAATTCTTATAAACGGAGTATAAACACAAGCCACAAAACACTGAGCATATTGATATAGCCCAGAGAGACACTAAGTTTATGTATAAAGCCCTGGATAGAGACAAAAACACAGACAAAAGTAGTTACATATTGCATTCCTTTTAGCGTGAAATTGGGTTTTATGATTTGTGCAATGCTCACATTTTAGCATGGAACAGGGACTTGCATGATATGTATCTTTGCACCTGAGCTTGATTGATACCATAGACACTGGTCCAGAGGAACGTCCCTCCCACTGTGATGCTCCAGAAAGTGTGTCTCCTCAGGGGGTTCGGATCAAAGCTGAGCGGGTCGGACACAGCATGAGAAAGGCAAGTTTTTAAAGGTGCAGTATAAGCGATTTCTGAGAAATGCTGTTGATATTTGAAATCACCAAAACAAACACGCCCCTTCCCAAAAGAATCACACCCCTATCTTGATAGCTCCGCCCCCAAATTTAAGAAACATGCTATTCAACACAGGCACCTCCCCCATCACTACTGGACATACCCCTTACTGCTGATTGGCTACAGGTGTGTTTTGGTGCTCGGTCCGATCCACTTTCAACAGCGTTTCTCAGAAATCGCTTACTGCACCTTTAAAGGGACAATCCAGGCAAAAATGAAAATTCTGTCATAATTTACTCTCCCCCATGTCGCTCCAAACCTGTATGAGTTTCTTTCTTCTGCTGAACACAAAGGAAGATATTTTGAAGAATGTTGGTAACCAAACAATTTTGGTTCCCATTCACTTCCATTATATATTTTGACCATAAAATGGAAGTCAATGGGAGCCGAAACTGTACAGTTATCAACATACATTATCAACATCTTTTGTGTTCTGCACAAGAAAGAAAGTCATACAGGTTTGGAATGACATGAGTGTGAGTATTTGATGACCCAATTTTCATTTTTGCCCAGACTTTCCTTTAAATTATGCATTCTTGTACCTGTCAGTAATGTGATAACTCACTTCCATAGGTTGAGCCGGCCTCCCTGGGTGGAGTCACTGATGATAGTGGAGATCCCGCCCTGCAGCAGCACCGATTGGACGATGACAGCCAAGAGCCCAGCCAACATGATACCCACCTGGAATACATCCGTCCACACCACTGCCTTCAGACCGCCCTGCCAGGGTAAAGGGACAGTCCTTTGTGATGCACATTTTAATAAATATACATTATATAAACATAAAATGGCAATTCTAAAAAGTGTTGCTACTGTATAATTTTAATATAACAGGGATTCTCAAACTTTTTTGTCCGCTGAACCCCTTAGACTTAAAATATTTATTTGTAGTACCACCTGAGATTTGAAGCTAATATTCAAATGATTTAACAACACATTTGCATGCTCATGGTTCTCTGATGTTGATAATAATAATAATAGAACGTATTATTATTATTAGTAGTAGTAGTATGTTTTAACTCTAATTATAAAAATAAAGACAGAAATATATAAATTTACGCAGCACAACATACTATACAGTTATTTAATTTAATTTTAGCTCTTGATTTTATAATTGCACTAAGCTATATAGGGATTATTGTGCAGCCCCATTTTTTTATTTTAATTTTACATTCCATATAATTAATTACCAGTTTATCAACTCATGAACCCTCACTTGGGAAACCCGTTTAATATAAAGCAAATATGCATAGTGGGGCAAATCTTAAATTTTTTTTTTACATAAAAATATTATTTTTCAATATTCAAAAAATATTATTTTGCAATATTAAAACCAGTGTGCTGTACAATTTGTTGCTTGAGTTTCGAGTGGACTAGGTAGTAACCTATTTGTATGGAGCCCTAATAAAATGGAAAGACTTGAATTTGACACTTGAGTAATTAACCATATTCCGTGACCGTTTGAAATGGCAATGTATGCAATATATTATGAGGATATTGTACATACTGTGAATTTATTTTGTGCTCTGTACCATATTTTCACTCAACATGATAATAGTATCTCAATGATACTAAAATAACACTACTCTCTTTCTAACTTACTAATGTACAGTAGAGAGTGCAGACGACTCCGGTGGAAATGACGGCACCCCAGAGATCTATACCTGTGACTGAGAAGTGGAGAGAAGTTCACTTGACCAGACAGCACTGTGCACTATCAAGCATACTTGTTACACCATACACTTCACAAGTAAAGCCATTTGACTTACACACTTAAAAATAGAGGTTCTTTATGAAGAACTTTATCATTCATGGAACCTTTCCATTTCCATTCGTTCTTTAGATTATTAAAATGTTAAGAATAAATGGTTCTTTTAAGAACTGTTCTTTGGGCAAACAAAAATTATTCTTCATGGCATTGCTGTAAAATTCTAATTTTTAGACCTTTATTTTTAAGAGTGAAGGAAGCTAAAGATCTGTAAAAAAAAAAATCCTACCTTGGTTTAAAGCCAAAGCCGGGGCGTAAATAACCAGACCTGTGTATAGGACCTGAGAAGAGATGGAAAATAGTACATTGAATTTACTGTATGATTTAATAAGACTGATAGTAACAAGAAAACACTCACTGTCTGTATGATAAACAGGACTGTCCCAAATAGTCTAATTACTTTATTGTAACGCATCTCCAGATACTGCAAACAAAGGGGAAAAAAATTATTACATTGCATAAGTTGCAGAATCAATGCATTATGGAAACGTTTTAACATCATTAATATGTTCTTCCTCAATAAACGCACTATTTTAGATTACCAATGAAATTTTTAATGCCACATTGAATTTTTTGCTGTCATCTCACCTCATAGGTGCTGGTTATTCCCAGTCTGTAGAAGATCGGCAGGAAAATCTCAGAGCTCACAGCCACCATCAGAACATAAGAAAAGCAGATGAGGATGAAAATGGCTCCGTACTGATACACCTCCACTGGAGTCCCCAGAACGGTGATGGCTGACATGAAGCTGGCTGTCAGGGACAGAGCCACCGGCACCGCTGTCATACTCCGTCCACCCACCAGAAAGTCTGCGGAGCTGCTCTGACCTCTTCCAGCGAAGGCGTAGTAAACCCCGATGCCTGCTGAGATCACCAGCATTAAGCTGAAGACCACATAGTCCCACACACTGAAGGACGCCGCACTTGACATCTTGGTGCACGTCTGAACTTCTTTAACAGGGTCTCTCGATTTTACGAGGAAACCTTTGTGGCTCTGTTTGCAAAATATTATCGTGACCATCAGGAATTTACTCAATGAAAGCAGATTGTTAGGTCAGAGATTGTCATGACAGAAAGAGATGTTTGTTCAGTCAGAGGGAGGCTCTGCCAAAGTTACTCACTGTGATTGTTCCTGGAGCTGCATGCTTGTCATCATCCCACCCATATCACATTCATTCCTCCTTACTTACTGCAGTTGGACTGCAATGTTTTTTTTTTCTCTAGTTATCAGATAATGCGTTTATTCTTGTGTGTGAGATACAAATAAACAATTCACTCCCTATTAATAACAAAAGCAGCCTAATGTTATTAACCTCCCAATATTACTAATCTTTGTGTGTCTATTTATAGGTTAAATTAATACAATACTTTATTAGTACTAGAGAACAATTGGGATATGTGGAGATAATGTTTAGCATAAAATAAATAGGATTATGAATAATGCAATTAGAAAATGTTAAAGAAATAACATGTACTATGAACAAACCATTGACTAAAAATAAAAATATATCTATACAACACATTAATAATGTATAATATTTTCATATTTCTCATTTTAACCATGGACCAAAAAAAATAAAAAATAATCTGTACAACACATTAGTGTTCAGAATAAATATAATTAAAAATAAATATTTTAATTTATCTTATATGTAATTTAATTTATAGTTTTATATTTCTATATTATTGTATAACACAAGTGATCCGCTGGAATAATTTCAAAACTCTTGCTATAGACGAAAAAAAACAAAAAAAAAACAACTTAAAACAAGATAAAATCTTTCCAAATACTTTTTCAAATAAAGAAGACTTTTATTTTGAAAAACAGGAAAACGGTCCACTTTACCCATAATGCGTCATTCAAGATGGTGGCATCCTGTATATAATTTAATTTATAGTTTTATATTTCTATATTATTGTATAACACAAGTGATCCGTTGGAATAATTTCAAAACTCTTGCTATAGACGAAAAAAAAAAAAAACTTAAAACAAGATAAAATCTTTCCAAATACTTTTTCAAATAAAGAAGACTTTTATTTTGAAAAACAGTAAAACTCTCCACTTTACCCATAATGCGTCATTCAAGATGGTGGCATCCTAACGTCTATACTGGAAACACAAGACACTGAGGTGTTGGAATGGGCCTTCACGTGTCTGTCATACCTGTACAAATACCTGTGGAGGATGATGGTGAAGGATATTGACAAGATATACAGGTGAGAAGTACCAGATATCATTAGTTCAGTAGAAATAAACCCTGGTAGATTATATTCTAGTTTAAAAACTGTTCTGTTACATCTTTGAAACTCAAAAGGCAATGGAAACTTGTTTCCGCCATGAAATAAAAATAGAAAAATTGTGGCTTTTTAATCTCACAATTTCTAGTTTATATCTCACAATTCTCAGAATTGCAAATCTATTTTTCACAGTTGCAAATTATAAACTCGTAATTGTGAGTTTATATCTTGCTATTTTGGCTTTTTTTTCTTCTCAAAATGGAGTTTTTATATCTCACAAGTCTGACTTTTTTCTCAGAACTCGAAGTTTACATATTGCAATTCTGACATTTTTTCTCAGAATTGACTGAGAATTTACAATTCTGTTTTTATTGTTTCCACCACAGAATAAATTTTTTTTTAAAGTATTTTTGATATCTCAATTTTTCTTGCACTTGTGAGTTTAAATCTCACAATTCGGACTCATCAGATTTCTGAGTTTATATCTCGCAATTCTGAGTTCATATCTTACAATTATGACTTTTTCCCTCATATTTGCAAGAAAAAGTCAGAATTGTGAGATAAAGAGTCAAAATTACGGAAATAAGCTTTCATAAAAAGTATGTTCGCATCTCATTCATAATTTGTAGAATTATAATGTATAATTTCTCACTCTTTTGCTTTTCTAAACCAGTCTTTACAGTTCAGCTTGCTCGCGACCTCCAGATGGACTTTTACCCTCACTTCTGCGACTTCTTCATCATCGTCACGTCTATACTGGAAACACAAGACACTAAGGTGTTGGAATGGGCCTTCACGTGTCTGTCATACCTGTACAAATACCTGTGGAGGATGATGGTGAAGGATATTGACAAGATATACAGGTGAGAAGTACCAGATATCATTAGTTCAGTAGTAATAAACCCTAGTAGATTATATTCTAGTTTAAAAACTGTTCTGTTAGATCTTTGAAACTCAAAAGGAAATGGAAACTTGTTTCCGCCATGAAATAAAAATAGAAAAATTGTGGCTTTTTAATCTCACAATTTCTAGGTTATATCTCACAATTCTCAGAATTGCAAATCTATTTTTCACAGTTGCAAATTATAAACTCGTAATTGTGAGTTTATATCTTGCTATTTTGGCTTTTTTTTCTTCTCAGAATTGAGTTTTTATATCTCACAAGTCTGACTTTTTTCTCAGAACTCGAAGTTTACATATTGCAATTCTGACATTTTTTCTCAGAATTGACTGAGAATTTACAATTCTGTTTTTATTGTTTCCACCACAGAAGACATTTTTTTTTAAAGTATTTTTGATATCTCAATTTTTCTTGCACTTTCTGAGTTTATATCTCGCAATTCTGAGTTCATATCTTACAATTATGACTTTTTCCCTCACGTTTGCAAGAAAAAAGTCAGAATTGTGAGATAAAGAGTCAAAATTACGCAAATAAGCTTTCATAAAAAGTATGTTCGCATCTCATTCATAATTTGTAGAATTATAATGTATAATTTCTCACTCTTTTGCTTTTCTAAACCAGTCTTTACAGTAAACTTTTGGCGCACAAGAAGGAACACATCCGCAACTTTGCTGCCGAGAGCTTCTCTTTTTTGATGAGAAAGGTGAGTCTTTAACATCCGAGATTATTTTCACCATGTCTTCTGTGTTGTTGCTAAAGCCAACGCGTCTCTCATGTCCCACAGGTGTCCGATTATGATGCTCTCTTCACACTTATGTTCTCCAACCTGTCTGAGGACCCTCAGAAGGCCAGAGGAGCAGGTCAGCTGATCTTTGAGATGTGTCGAGGAGTCTGTAACATGTTCCACTCCTGTGCCACTAAGGTGAGATCACATCGCAGAAAACCAAACATCACACAATGAACATTTGGCGAGTCGGTGTTTAACAGGACAGTCGTTATCAGGCTCTTCCAGTGGTGTTGAAGAAACTTGGCCCAGCAGCCGTTCAGGACGTTGATTTACCTTGGGATTCAATAAAAGAAGCTCTGGATCACATGTCTGAGTCTTCAGCCAACTATGTTGAAAAAGAACACCTGCTGGTCCTGTGGGACTCCTTACAAGTAAGAAAACTTTTTTTCGTATCTCTAAATGAAGCTTGTTTGACAAACCGTATATTATATTGATTTTGCTATCATTATTAATGTGTTATGTGGTATTATGTGATTGTACCCATCCTAGATGCTGATTGGTCGCTATTTTAAAATGTTTTAAACATTTTTTTTTTATATAATTAAAATCTACATATATATATATATATATCTTCATCAATTATTACATTTTAATTTATATATATATATATATAGTTAGATTTTAATTATATTTATTCATTTATTGTGGTTTGCAGGGCTCTCTGAAAGAAGTTCTTGGAAAGTTAGAGACGAGCAATGCCACTCAGGCTAATGAGCACCTGGAGAGGATTCTGTACATCTACCATACGCTTGTGGAGCATCACAAAGGAGCAAAAATCACAAAACCACAGTCTGTTTGTGAGGTGCGTATGTGTGTGTCTGTAGCACTCAAAGATTATGGTGTTCTTGAGTGCTGTTGCACCTCTGATATGTTTTTCCCCTTTTTTTTGTTGTTATATTTAGACACTTCTTCAGTTAGTTCAGGCACCAGGACTGTCCTACTCCTGCCACAGGCTGCTTTTACAGGTGGTCTCGGCTGTGTTAATGGGAGAGAATCTGTCGTTACCTGCCAGCAGCATCCATGAACTGGTGAAAAAGGTTTGTTTAATGTACACCAACACAAATGTTTTTACAATCTGATTTCCTGTTGACCTCATTTCCTCTTTGGTCCCTATATGCAGGTCTTTAATAGCGGGATGGACCGAGACCTCATATTGTCATTTACCAAAGAGATGTTTGACATGAAACAGTTTGAGCAGGTCAGTATAAGCAGGACTTGCGGTCTTCAAGAGCAACTTTCAACTGTTTTAATGCTCCTGTGTGTTTCTCCAGTTGTTCTTGCCCAGTTTACTGCAGTATCTGGAGCAGCTCTTCTGCATGGAGGACTATGTAAACCGGCAGCTGGTTCTGGAGCTGCTGGTTGGTCTGATTGTCTCCAAAGCTCCGCCCCCCACTGACGGCTCCATGGCTTTTGAGAAGTACCCATTGGTCTTCACTGTCAGGTAAGAGCTGGGAAAAGCTACTCAATAAAAAAAATACTTTGAATTGGAATATTTCATAGATGAATACACGTAAAAATTCCAAATTCTGTTTTAGGTCAACTGGACCTGAAAGAGACCAGTCGGTCTCCGTTCCCCAGCAGATTCTTTCTCTCATAGTCATCCCTGCCGATCAACCGCTCTCTGACCTTTCCCACCCCTGGGCTGCACTGGTGCTGCTCCCACATGTCAGGTAAAGACTTAATTACCCACAATTCTCTGCGTGTTATAGGGATAGTTCACTCTAAAATTTAAATTCTGTCATCATTTACTCACCCTCAAGTTGTTCCAAACAGTTGCTGGTAGCCATTCACTTCCATAGTATGGAAAAATAGTATGAAAATCAATGGCTACCGGCAGCTGTTCGGTTACCAACATTCTTCAAAATATCTTCTTCTGTGTTCAAGAGAAGAGAGAAACTCATACAGGTTTGGAACAGTACAGTAAATGATGACAGAATTTTCATTTTTGGGTGATGTATTTTTTAATGTAATCTTCTTTTGCGTCCTCAGCTGATCAGTACTTTTATATATTCCCACTTTTATGATATTTTATCGTGCAAATGTGATTTTATAGTAACATTCAAATTACTTTGTCAAGTCACATTTATTTTATAGTGCTTTATACAATACTGATTGTTTCAAAGCAGTTTCACAGATTCATTTTTAGTTCAAACAGTCTGAATGATGCAAAGTACATTAGTAAAGAAGCAAACAAAGAGAACAGTCTCAAGTTAGTGTTCATTCATTTTGTGTAAATAGTAGTGTGCAGCTAAGTATTTTCTTGCAGACAGAAATGTTGAGATCTATTATTTATGGTCTTTTAATAGTCTTTTTGTGTACAGTTTGATATTTGTTTAAATGTGCAGCAATTAAAATGTTTTGCAGGCCATTAGAAGCATCAAGTGTTA